CATTCAGCTGTTGAAGAGATCCCACATGTGCCTCCATGTCATTTTCCCTGTTACTTTCTTCTTTATGGCTTGCAAGAAGAGAGTTGAGGGTCTTCTTTTGAGGGCAATCCCTTGCCCAATGAGGTCCTTCACAAAGAAAGCAACGGTTTTGATATGACTTGTTGTTGGTCTTCCCCTTATCCCTTGCCTTTGTTGGAGTTGATTCACGACGTTTCTCTTCCTTGTTTTTGCCCTTGTCATCCCCACCTTTGATGTTGCAACTCTTCTTATTTTCGGTTTTTCTAGGCTCCTTCGAATAATCAACAAAGCTTTCGGCAACCGCGATGGCAGTGGCAATATCTTGCACTCCTCGCCTCCTAAGCTCGGTCTTTGCCCAATGTTGAAGCTCATCCATGAAGTTGAAGAGAGCATCCTTATCTGATATATCTGGGATTTCAAGAACTAGACTTGTGAACTCTTTGATGTAGCCTTGAATCAAACCTTAGCCTTCGCAGCCGGGCTCAAGCCTCGTCTTCGGCATTCTTGGGATAGAACTGTCTCTTTAGCTCCCTCTTGAAGTCATTGAAAGTAGACATGGTGCACAAACCTTTCTCTACATCTCATTTTCTTCTTTTCCACCAAAGCATAGCGATGTCTGAGAAGCAAATTGAATTTTTGCATCTTCATCGACAATCCCCATCGCTCCAAAGTATTGCTCTAGTCCCCATATGAAGTTGTCTACTTCCTTTGCATTGCGAGTACCTCCAAAACTCATAGGTTTTGGAACTTCGATCCTCCTGGCTTCGAAAGTGGGATGGCTTGTGGATGACGCGAGTGTCTTCTTGCACAACGAAATGTCCCCACGCATTTACTCCAAGCTAGCACGTATGTCGCTCATCTCTTCTTTATAGGTGCTTCGCACCTCTTGGAGCTTCCCCATAAAATCGTCCCGCAACTTAGCCACTTGGCCCATTAAGGTCTCTTCAAGTTGGAGCATCATACCTCTGATTGTTGAATGGATGGTGATGTCCTCCTCCTCAAGTCCATCAACCTTTTGGCCAAGTTCCTCTACTTGGCCCTCCATGTCATTCATTGCCTCCTCCATCCGAGCATTGGGTGCAACGGGGTCCCTTTGCTCCTGGCGACCTCGCCCTTGAGATGACTCCACATTAGTGACTTCCGACTCCATCACGTGCTCCTTGACGCTCTTTGCCATTCCCTCGAACCAAATCTCTGATATCAACTGTCACGGACTAACTTTCCTCAGGTCACCCGTGCGGCTTTAGCGCTCTTTCTTAGCACTAAATCAGTCGCACCCCTCACAGCACCTGATGAGCCCCAAGCACTCTTAAAAAGAATAATAGAGAGAAGGGAATAATTAGCACTTGAATACGAGAATGTTTTGATTCAATGCTTAGGTAATTACAAATGAGGGGAGGAGCTCCTATTTATAGCCTCCTCCATGTCTTTGGCATTTCATCTAGTCAATGTGGGACTATTCCATGTCCAAGAGAAGCTTCTAGATTACAATATAATATTTTATCTTTTAGACTATTCTTATGTACATACATAACTCTAGAACCTTCTAGGTTATTCTTAGATTCTCTTTAGAGCTTTTCATTCTTACTCTCTCCTGAATGTGGCGGAATCTTCTAGAGCCCCTTTGATGACTCTCTATATTCTGACCTTCTCTAGAATCTTCCATCTTATGCTCGTCTTGACGATTTCTCGAATATGGCAGAGCGTGACATTAAGCTTCGAATTACACATTAGCCAATAAGAGTTAGAAATCCGTGGCTAACATTTTTTATTGCAGAGACAAAAGTCAACGAAAATTTATGAAAAATAAAGATAGATGCCAACCCTAAATAGTTAAGATAATGCTAATTATGATTATCATGATTTTGTCCTCATCATTCAATAATGATCCTACTTTTTACATCCCCTTCTCCCTCAATTCTCAGAGAAAGACTTGGTGAGACGGCCCCTTCTCGAGTAATTTGCAAAATTCGTGATGTTTGCCAAGATATCTTCTTTTCTTTGCCTCTAAATTTTATTCATTTTATCATTCATTATTGAATTCTTCCACATAATGCTCTTTCTCTATCTACTGATAGATTTTTTTGCTCTCCCTTCTCCTTCGTTCTCAGCAGCTATGCCCTGAAGCTCTCTTTTTCTTCTTTGATTCTACAGCTCCGTCATTGTTGTAGTTTTCCACTCTTTTGCTTATCCATGTCTAGTTACTTCCTCATCGCTATTTATCTTACAACTTAATTTGCTATCACTATTTCTAAACGGAAAATTTTAAGGCTATGTATTTACACATTTAACAACAAAACCTTAATTTTTACCTGCATGCCACCTAACCCATGCATGAAAATGTATATTTCGCATTTTAAAAGTTCAAATAGTGGTATTTTTTATACAATATGAAATACTTGGGTGGTATAAATGTCAAAAGTAAATTTTAGGTGTTAGATATTTAAATACATAGGAATTGGGTGGTATGTATGTAAATGCCCTATGATTTAATCTTAATTAGCTTTATTTTATAAAGCATTTTAGAATCGTTACTACTTAAGTGGAATGACAAATGTGCGACAAAAAGTGCCAAGCTACATGAGACCTCCGTGACTTCATGACTATGGTTAACATATTTCCAGAGCAGTTTCTCAACTTCTATTGAAGTAGCAGAACCGTTATTTGTGCGAAAACAGCATCAACATAGCATTAGCAAGTAAGGCTACACTGATATTGTTTGTAGCTTTAATTGCGTCCATTTTTATATTTAATTTCTCCAAGGGTCGAATATAATCATGATGATTTGAAGAATTATAGCATAAAAACTAAAGATTATAATGCCATGTGGACTAAATATAGAAGATATTTTCCATACAAGTAAGTGCTAGGAGTCTAAAACTAGCAAGAAAATTTTTCCCTCAAAGAAAATGTACATTTGTAATAATGGATTAATAGGAACTCTTTATTTTTTTTAAAGCAGAAATCCCATAAGAAAAACTTTCAAAAATAGAAAAAATAAGGAGAATGCCTAGATGTATACCATGTAAAATAGAAGCATCTTAGATATTCCAAGCAGGCACAATAGTAAAGAAATTTGTTGGGCAACAAACAAGAGTTAAATGTGCAAGTTTTGAGATAGTTATCATGGTAAATGTAATTTACAAGAAAAAGACAAAAAATCATTCAGTTCACTAAATAAAAAACAGGATGCACAATTTAAATTGAAAAACAGAACATATGGAGAATAAAAAACAAGAGAAAAATAGTTTAAAATACATTTATATTGTAAGTAGAAAAACAAACAAATAAAGATATCATGAGAAGGCATTACAAATAGAATTGAACTGTTGGACCAGTTCATTACCTCTTCAAACCTCTCAGCTTCATTTGTTGACTCCACTTCAGCTACCAGGGCAGGCGGAGGAGGGCCAATAAACAAATCATTGTCAACTTCCAAGTTGGCATCTCTGTAAGATGTAAATTATTAACCTCAAAATAAAAACAAAAAAGGCGCTACTAGATAATCAAAGATTCAAAGCATAAAAAAAAAGTAGTCAAGAACCATAGCGAATCCAATAAAGTTTACAGGAGAATATATCATACAAATTACAACAGACTTAAGATAAAGGTTCCAATGAGTAAAGAATGAGTTAAATTAAATACCTAAGTTCTGCCTCTGCTCTTGTTAATTCAGCTGCCGCAGCCAATAACTCACGAGAAGGCATTTCAGGTCCAATAATCCTACAATCATTCAATCTCTCTCAAAAAAATTACAAATAAAACTTTGAAATGAGGCTTGCAATGAATATATAAAAATAATCATTGCCTCAAGAAATGAATTATAAAGTGATAAGGTGATGCAAGTATAATCATTTTCCATACAAGAAATGAATTATAAAGTGATAAGGTGATGCAAGAGTTCACTTTTTATAGAATGAATCTTATCAGAAGGATAATCACATAGTATCATTTGGATGAACGTTATTATCTAATATTACTATCTTTGAGAAAAGTTTTCTTTGTCATGGATGTGTTGTCCTCTATCAAGTTTGATGATTGAAGCTCCTTAATGATATCATGTCCTAGTTCAAATTGTGCTACTTTCACAAGAGTCACACTTGAGATGTTTCACTGCATCAAATTCATACTTGAGCACAAGCTTCAGCATCAAAAAAATTTTTGAAGATTTACATAAATACCATTTAATTCCTCCATACTTACATATCTAACACTTAAAGTTCAATTTTTTACATATTTATCATTTTACCTACAATGCCATTATTTCCCATATTCTTTTTTCCTATTTTTTTCGTCGGCTATTTCCCTCATGCATTTCTTGTTAATGTCTTGTACCCCCATCATTTTGCACTTCGCTCTCTTTGAAGTAATTCAATAGAAACCATCCAACTCGTTGCCCCTCCCTATCCAAACAAAAATTCAACCCACTAAAACTTAAATTCCCACCACACGTTCAAATTCTAAAAAAAACCCCTCTAACAAAGTTCTTACACCTCAATCAAATTCATAACCAAAAAACCTACAACCAACCCGTTCATAGTCAATCCTATAATGAACAGATCCAACAGTTCAAATCTATTTATAATGCTTTTGAACAGACCCAAATGTCAATCCTATACCTCAACTAAAAATTTAGCATCTCCTGTTATGAATAAATTCCGTAGAAGGTATTTTTCAAGTGAAAGAAATTGTGAACAACAACTGCCCCTTCCTCAAGTCTTTCCACAAAGAGCAAACTTCCCCTCTTTGGCCTCTCAAAGAAAAAAGGCTTTTTTTCTTTAAAAAGTGAGAAAATGAGAAGGAAGACAAACCTGAATTTAAGTTAGAAAAAAGAATTAGGATAGTTTCCAAATCAGTTGATTTTTCTCCTGCAGAGCATTTATTTTCTTTTGAAACCTTTTTTTACAAAAAGATTCAGATATCCTTCTTCAAACACATCAATTTCAAGTCAAGGTTTACATATGTTCTACAATTAAGATCCTCCATCATAACTTCAGTTTTTGAATTAAATTCAGTATGGTTGACAAATCTTGTAAAATGCATAGGAGGTTTGTTTAGGAAGATCACCTGAAATAATCTAAACCACATTGAATTACATTTGTTCTAATTTCCAATGAGAAAATGATAAGAAAGAAAATAGGATTAGTTTTTAATCACATCATTAAAATAATTAACCTAATTTACTATTTGCTTATTGCATTTATGAATTAAGTTAAAAGCTTAAGAAAACTAGACTTCAGCATGCATCTTAGCTACTTATTCGACTAGCTAGCATGTTCACATTACCGCATAAAGGTAAAACTCTCTAATGGTTAAATCCTACCATTTCTACCATATCATCGTATCAACATAGCCAAACTTAGCATTTTATCATGACATGTTAGTTACATCGTGTGTTTATTTCTGCAAAATAAAGACCAATTGTGCAATTATAAACCACTCGAAGTACCGATATCATCCATTCAAATATCTTCTTAAAGGAGGTTCATTTGGATTCTTCACATTCAAAAACATGTTTTGAAAAATAAAGTTTTACAAATCCATCATTTGATTGGAAGTAGTTCGAAAACAACATTGATTTCAAACATCACAAACTTCCACAAATTCTCACAAAAGTAATGATTTATTTTGACACTCAAAATGCGTAAAAAATGAAATCAAAATTTTCTAAAACTTGATTTTAAGCACGAGCAAATAATTGAGCCCCAAAGTCTCGACTTACCAAAATCAACATGAAATTTAAGAAATTACTCTAATTCACAATTCCATGATGTTATAATAATAATTTCTATAGTTAATTCCAATGTCCCGTATCTGATGAGAGGCATAATTGGCTATCAATGGATTAGATTGATGAGGAGAAAAGATTTTAAAGAGGTAGAGCATAAAAAATTTTTAGATAATCAAATTTAAATTGTCTTAGTGAAATGCTTATAATAATTTAATGTCTGTATGATATTTAACACAAGCTTAAAGAATGTTATTAATTAGTCTTCCATCATTGAGATTGATTGCATTATCCAATTAAGAAATATGAAACGCATTCCATGGTGCCATTGAATATTTTGAAAGATCATAGTTAGTCACTAGGCATCATATGCCATGTGATTATGTAGTTATTAGGTCAGGTTTTAAAGCTAGCCTTAACCAAGAAGACTTACATGAATAGCTTTCCAAAAGTCAAATACACCTTTAATGCAGTTTTAAAGCACCAAAGCGCTATGTATGTAAATATGAAAGCTTATGTTTGAGATACATAAAGTCATAAATACATAAGAAATTGTGTGCTAGGTATGTAAATTAAAAGTCACATAAATGATGATGGACAAGTAAAAATGTGTACGCTAAGTACAACATCAAGCATTAAATCAAACCAAAAAAAATCCCAGTAATGAAAGAGTCCAATTAACAAAGCATATAATTCATAAATAATATCATACTAATTAAAAGTTGAAAAAACACCTTTTATGAGGAACTAAAGAATCTTCTCTCTCTTTTCTTTCTGTCAAGCCCGGATCATTAATTTCTTGATTCATTGTCGATTCTTGACAAAAAGATGAAATTTTTTGCCCATTTGGTGATCCAACAGCTGTAAAATGGCCTTCTTTAAACTTCATATGTGAGTACAACGTATCTCCAATAAGCTTTAAGGTAGGCACTGCCATTGAAGGAAGTGAGAAAACTCCTTTTCGATTTTCATTGAGATTTAAGGACAAGAGAAGTTTCTTTAAAAGCCTAACAAATGACTTGTCAGAAACAGCCTTTATATCAACACCTTGTCCACTGTCAACAAGTTGCAAAAGCTGAAATAAAGAATAGCAAACATTTATCTATTTTATAATTCATTAAGAAACTAATCACAAATATATTTATGATGAGATATGGTAAAAGATAAATCATAAGAGACGACAAATTTACATACATGCCACTCAATTCCTATGTATTTACATATCTAACACCAAAATTTGAATTATGCCACCTACCTATAAATGAAAAGCAACTTTTCACTTTTTAAAAGTTAAAAAAAGGTGGTATTTTTAGATGATATGAAAATTTTGGGTAGTATGAATATAAAAAAAAAGTTTCAGCTAAAATAATGCACAATATTAAGGAAAGTTTACAAACATATCATAATTTTTTATAAATTTACATATCTAACCACCAAACTAACGCATGAGCTAGAGTTTCATTTCAGTTTATATGTCTTGGTTTATGTGTGTTAGTTTGTTATTTGTGTCTTTATGTTTTAAAGTGGCATACTTGCAATTAGGAGAGTCTAGTCTTTATAAATAAGGGTTGTGTTAGGGAAGGCAAACATTGGAGAGTTTTCTAGTTTTTCCTGAAGGTTGGTTTTGTTTTCCTTGTGGTTGTGCATTATATCTTGTTCTTTTCTCAAAAATCTTGAATTGCATTGTTTCCAATTGTTCCTTGTTCTCAATTTCATGTTTTTTGTTTGATCCCCAATGTTGAATTTTCTTTACCTTGTTCCAATTGATTTCTTTCTTCCTATTTCTGGTTGTTTTCTTTTCCTGTTGCGGAATCAATTTCCGCATTACTTGATATCAGAGCACAGATTTCGATTGTCTAGATTTGCTAAATTTTGTTAGAGTAGATTTCTACTCTTGGGATTCTGTTCTTTTTATTATCTTGTTTTCTTCTAGGCGTCAATGTCCAACCGTGGGATCCCTTCGAGGCTAGCCGCAAGCCCGCAAAAGACTATTGATTGACTACTTGATCCCATTTCTTGCCCAATTTCTATGAATTGATTTATGTCCCTACTTTCGTTCGTGGTTCTTTATGCTCTCAATCATGCCTCCACACAAGAATGTGCCAAGAACCAATCAAGAAGTTTTCATGGAGAAAACTTTGCATGAAATGCATCATATACAAGAGAGACTTGCAGCCTTGGAGTAGAAAAGTACGAGGAACGCTCAGTAGCACACAATGACGAGGCAATAAGAGGAGCAATCCAAGATTACTATGTAGAGAAAGATGAAGAAGAAATTGCAATGCAAATTCTTGTTGGATCACTATGGCAATAGTTTTCATTTCTATTCATCATTTACATCAACAAAAGATAATTGAAGAAGAATATGTTGCTGAATTTGAGCATCTTAAATTAAAATGCATTTTGTATGAACCTGAAGAACACACTATTACATAATTTTTCGGTAGTTTGAGGCATTCTATAGCCAATGTAGTTCAGCCATCAATGTCAACCTTATTGGTGACTTCGGCATGTTTTTAACATTCCTTTGAAGGTGGAACGACAGCAAAAATAGGGCTAGAATGCATTTTTGCATGGTAACAGCTGAACAGGCCGACTTCAACAAATATGGCCATGTCATGGTGCTGCCAGTTGCCAGAAAAGAGGAAGGCAGCAGCCTACATCAAGTCTTGCCTTTTCAAAAACAAGTTACAGAAGTGAGAAACAATTCAATTAATAGACGTTGCTTCAAATATCATGGATTTAGCCATACAACAGCCAATTGTCCAAATCATCGTGTCATTTCATTGGTGGAAGAGAGAGAACCCGAGATGGGAGATTCTTTAGAAGAGGAAGAAACTAATTTGGTTGGGCAACAAATAATAAATGCAAATGAAGGAGAATAACTTGTAGTGCGGAGGCTTAGTGTCGATCAATCCTCCAACAAGGATTGGTTGTGGCACAACATTTTTAGGACCAGGTGCACCATCCAGAACAAAGTGTGTAATATTATCATTGACGGGGGAGTTGCAGAAATGTGGTGTCCTCTACCATTGTTAAAAAGCTTGGTCTAGTGACTCAAGTTCATCCACATCCTTATCAACTTATTTGTCCAAAAAGAGAAAATGAAATCAAAAGTTACAAAGCCATGTTTGGTGTGATTCTCCATCGAGAAGAGATTTCAAGAGAAAGTATTATGCAACATCATTTCAATGGATGCTTGCCAACTCTATCTAGTACGTCCCTAGCAATATGACCACAACACCATTCAAGATGAGCATGTACATATGTACTCCTTGGGTAATGGTACTCAAATTACCTTGGTTCCTATGCAAGAGGAGGTGCGAAATGAGACCAACAACATGTCCTCATTTTCAATTTTCCTAAAAGAGTTGAAATAAGCTGATATTGGCTACTTACTGCTCCTTACCAAACCTTCTGAGCAAGCCACTGAAGTTCCAAACTAAATGTTGGAGTTAATGAAACATTATAAGTAGGTTTTCCCTGCGGAAATCCCCACCGGCCTACCTCCTTTGAGTGGCGTTCAACATGCAATTGATGTCATGTTCGGTTATATCACATAGACCCGCATATAAAATGACTCCAAGGGAACATGAAAAAAATGATATCAAGTGAATTGAGATGCTTTAGAATTGGAACTGGAAACCCCTTAAACTAGTTTCAATAGTGACAATATTAGAAGATGTTGGGATCACTGAACTTGACCAACATGGGGATTAGAGTGACTCCATTACTTTCAATGCCTTCGAGATGGTTGCTCATTACGAATAAGATTTTGAGATTGTTTAATATGAGGGAACCTTGCCAGACCCAGGAGAATAGCTCAAGAGCTAGAGTTTTATTTCAATTTATATGTCTTGATTTATGTTTATTAATTTGTTATTTGTGTATTTATGTTTTACGGTGGCTAGGAAAGTCTAGCTTTTATAAATAGGGGTTGTGTGTTAGAGAAGGTGTTTTTTGGAAAGTTTTCTGGTTTTTCCTAAAGGTTGGCTTTGCTTTCCTTGTGGTTGAATTCTGAGGTGGCTCTCAGGTGGAGATTTTGCCATTATATATTATTTTTCTTAGAAATCCTGGAGTGCATTGTTTCCGATTGGTCCATTTTCTCATATTTTTATTTTTGGTTGATCTCCGTTGTTGATTTTTTCCCCTGTTGTGACTTAGTTCTTTCTTGTTTGAAGCTGTTTTATTTTCCTGTTGCGGTATCAATTATTACAACTATTTACACTTTTAAAGCATTGGTGTCATAAGTTTGTCTATGCATATGAAAGTATATTTCACTTCTAAAAAGAAAGTGATGGTGGTATTTTTTATGTGATGTTAAAGATTTGGGTGGTATGCATGTAAGTATGAGAGTTTAAGTGTTAGATATGCAAATACATAAGAGTTGTGTGATATATATGTAAATGCCCATAATATGAATAACTAAAATTGCAAAGATAAAACTAAAAAAATTACTTTAAGTGAAATGGCAAAGATGGCAACGAAAATCGAGAGTTACTCTTTGTCTTCTATGGAGCAATCTAATTCCCATTAAAGCTTTTAAATAGATTAGTGTGATCACACATGCACCAAATGCACACGAATAAAATTCATAAAATAAAAATTTATATTTTTCTTTAATTAAAAGATCAAAATAATACATTCATCGCCAATTGTTCTGTTAATTAGTGGAAAAATAAAGATTGTGCCAAAATACTAATTATTCAATGTATAACATTTTAAAATTTTAATTAACATAAAATTAATTTTATAATTTATAATTATAATATTTATTTTTAATGAAACTAAATTAATTATTTTAATAATTTAATAGTTGTAACATTTTATTTAATATAAAGATCATTTTAGAAATTTTATAAAATAAAATAAATAATGAACTAAGAAATTAGACAAAAATTTAAAGAGATAATTTTATAAACTCTGAAAGCCTTATTTTGAACACATTACTTAAAAGTGTCAATTAGTTGTTTAAAAACTAAATTAATTATTTTCATGATTTAATAGAAGTAAAACTATAACTAATATAAAATTCATTTTAAAATTTATAAAGATAATATTTATTTTTAAAAAAACATATCGCATTACTTAAGGGGTATCAATTATTAGTTTAATTATTTTTATAATTTAAAAAATGTAATATTCAAATTAATATAAAAGTTGCCATAAAATTTATAATGGTAATATTTATTTTTTAAAAAATTATATAATAAGAAATAGTGCTTTTTTTTAATTTAAGAAAGCAATAAAAATCCCAAATGACATTTCATTTCACAACTAATGGACGGTGAGTACGGGTAAAAATTGATATTCATTTGATTAATCTAAGGAGATATATCACTTTCAAAACACATCAAAACTAATTTTCAAGAAAAAACTTATCATTTATACGACAAATTTAAACTTTAGTCAAATCATATTTAAGACATCAGTTGTGATCAAACTCTCTTCAATAAAAAGTTACATATTTTCAGTCATTTTTTATTATCACTAAAAACAATTACTTAGTCGTGTTTATCTTTTTTAATGATAAACGTAAAAATTTTATAAAATAAAATTTTTTGCTAAAAAAATTGCAAAAGAAGGAAATAAAATCCTATAGAAATTACATCATTTCAATTGTGGAAGATGCATATGTAATTTTTTGTTCGAATATGTAGTTTTTGTTTTAATAAAACAATAGAAGAAAGTTAACTAGTCGTGCATTCAGGGTGAGCAAGAATTTATTTTTTAAATTATTTTGTATGTTCCATCCAAAAATAAAGTTTTCTTTATTTATTTTCTAAATGATATAATCAAATAATAACAAATGAAGATTAAAATTACAATAAAATAAAAAAAATAAAAAGTCTAAGTATACTCACCAACCGAAATTTGCAGCAAGAGAAGTAATGTGAATTCACGAGTAAAATAAATTTCAAAGTACTATAAGTATAACTGCAGAGGAAGATGTTTCGACTAAGCAAATAATTTGCCATATATATATATATATATATATATATATATATATGTTGTGTGGGAGTGCAAGAAATTGGTACAATAAATATGCCTTTTATGCTTTAATCAACTTATTAAAATAAATAATCATTAAAATTTAGGCTTTACAATTGTTGCTTTGTTTATAATTTTACTTTGATCATAATATTAGACTACCTGATAGTAAGTATTCATCACAATAGTTAATATGATCTTAAAAATACATGTTTAATGTGCATCGTATTGCAAAAAAATCTTGATAAAGAGTTTAAATAAATGTTAAAAGTGATGTCAAAATATTGATTATTCTAATGTACAACAATTCTAAAATTCTAATTAATATAAAAATCATTTTAAATTTTATAATCATAATATTTATTTAAAAATAAATAAATTACTTATTTTATTTATTTAACTTGTAAATTTTAATTAAACCAAAATTACTTTTAAACAAACAATCACAGTTAACCTGTAGTACCACTAAATTCCTATACATGTATAACATATCAAATACTTGAACTATAATTTACATAAATGAAACAACAGAAAAGAAAAAAATTTCTTCATCTAGCCATACTTACAAAATTTGAAGCATGAAAGTAGCGCAAACTTTAAATTGAAATAAATGTAAACTCCATCAAAATTTGTGGCAGAAAAGTAGTGCATATTTCTAATAATAACTCTAATAAATGTAAAAATTTATAGGTGTGAAGAGATGTGAAGAGATGATACGTATGATGTATAAAAAGTCAAATTGGTTATAGGTGAGAAGAAAGGATATATAAGTGCAAGAAAAAAACACGTCTCCTTTGGTATGAATTCATGTTGAATGGTAGAGATTAAAAGCATCAATTTTAAATAGAATAAGAAGCTAAGATATATCATTGGAAGAATCACAAGCACCTTTTATAATAGTAGAAAGATAGTATGATTGACATTAACTAGTAGGAAAATTAACATACATACTATTCAATTCCTATGTATTTACATATCTAACAAATAAACTCCAATTTGTACATATATGTCGGCTTCCCTATGCATGAAAAGGTGTACTCACTTTTTAAGAGGGTGTTTGGTTGTAGGAAGGATTTAACGTTAGTAGGATTTAGTAAATATGGATATATTAAATCCACCCCCCTGCTAGATTTATTAAATCCAAATTTAACATAAATTGAAGGGAAAATTTAGACCTTGAATCCAAAATTTCATAAAACTGTGGAACTTATGCATTTTTATGTTTGGTTGGATTTAGTAAATCCAGCCGATAAATCATATTAATAAGGGGCTACCAAACAACCCCTAAAAGTTAAAATAGTGATATTTCTATACTAAAGACTTGGGTGTTCTAAATATCAAAAAGCAATGTTTAGGTATTAGAGATGTAAATATATAGGAATTAAGTGGTATTCATGCAAATGCCCCTAACTGGTATCAATCTTTCATTTTGTTTTTTGAATCAAACAATGATTAACAAATCAAGAAAAACAACATATGAAAAACACAAATGGCATAAAACCACTATTTTTACCATGCTTCTGGAGTAGTCCGATATTAAATTCCATAAAAACAAAAGAACAGAGCTCACAAACACATAAGCAAGAGAAATGAAACAAAATAAAAAAGAGGGTTGTTTACATGCATTGTTATTTACAAATCCAAAACCTTTTCATTCATTTTTCAAATTCTCACTCAAATATCAATATTTATGATAAAACCCAAATGCATTTTTATCAAATTCTCAATGATTTGATCGTGGCAGGCGTAAATGAATTCAAGTTCCTCATGCTTGGAATAAGCGCTGCAAGTCTTTTCTGTTACAGGTCCTGGTGGTGAAGGAAGTGAATCAGATGAAGTTGTTTTCCAATTCAAATAGGTTGCAACAACTGTTTTTCTTATGAAAAAAGAGGTTTTTAGCATTGGTTCAGTAGTTCAAAAATATCACCTGGATGCTAGATTTTGTAAGTTGCAATATTTCGGGCGTTATGTATGTAATTATCCCCAAAAAAATAATAGTAATACCTGCTCAAGATCATGGGCGACATCAGGAAATTTCTCCAGGATAAGACAAAGAACAGCCTCCGGCTGCACATCCTTGAGCTGCACCAAATCATCATCATCGGAAGACGAATCATCTCCGCTCGGCGACCTCTTCCGCTGCCTCCGCTTCCCCTTTCCAGAGCTTTTAGTGGCGCCCTCCTCCCTCGTTCGATGCCTCCTCTTCTCCCGGTGCCGGCTAGACTTACGACTTCGCCGCGACCTCGGTTTCTTCTCCTCGGGGCTTTCGCTGTCAGAGCAAGAGGGCGTAGGAGCTGATGATGAACTATCGGTTTCCAAGCTTCTTCGGCTTCTTCGCCGTCTGCGATCCCGATCCTTCCCCATCTTTCTCCTGCCTGACGGATTCAGATCAGGTTCTCAACTCCATATCGCAGTTCGGGGCTGTACAGATGCGATTTTAACTTATTAGGATTTTAGTAAATCCGGATTTACAAATTTCAGAATGGATTAAATTTTATCGAACAGTTTCTTACGCATGAGTGAGAACTCTTTTTTTGTGCAGTTTATTTCTGAGTTATTTTCATTTTATTTTAAGTTTATTTTCAATAATCTCAAAATAATCCAGAAATTACCCAAAAATAAAAATCACGGGTTATTTCTGGGTTATTTCGGGATTATTGAAAATAACTCAAAAATAACCTGAAAATAACTCAGGAATATCTTGTGTCGCACGTAGAGGCACGTAAAGAGTCAGCACAGAAAAATCTTTGCATGAGAAGCAAATGTACATATTTGTATAAACAAACATTAAGGCAGAATTTTCAAAATGTCGCTGGCTGTTTAAGTTATCCCAAACAGGCCTTTAATAGAACTGTTTCGTAATTTTAGTGAGATAGTTATGACCGATTGAGATAATAGAAAGCCGGCAAACTTAAATCTCAAGCCCCGCAAACTTAAATCTATCAATTCTTTAGATTTAGGATTTTCAGTTTTATAGTCTAAATCTGTGGAATCTGAATTTACGGAATTATTGTATTTAATTTACACAAAATGACCATCTGGTAGGATTCAACTTAAATACTACGTAACAATGTAAAACCGGTGCAAAACCATTATCATACAGCCGCTAAAGCTTTGGTTTTGATGAATCTAGATTCCCCTAAAATTGGGCTCTAAATCCAAAATAAGGGAGTCACGCAGAGACAAAATTTTGCATACGCCGTCCTGACTTGAGCTACGTGCAGACGTCAAATGTGATATACCAATTAGATGTTTTCTCTTATCGATGCATCACGTCCTTTCTGAACGCAGCTTGCGTCCGGACGACGTACGCAAACTTATTTTCCACATGAAGATGTAGAATTACCTTCCTGAGTGGCTTGGCGACAAACAACTAGAGGAGAAGGATTTAATTTTATTATTTTAATTGATTGACATATTATCATATTGATTATACTTAAATAAATGTATATGTAGTTATTAAATACGTAATTAAAAAATAAAAATGCATGTTAAACTTTAATTTATTCGATAAAATTTTAAGTAATCATTAATTCATATAATTAATAACTAATTAATTATTAATTGCTGAATGTTAAACTATTCTTAATAAATAATTAATTGATTGAATTTTAAATAATAATTTATTAGTTTACTGAATAATTAAATATAAATGCACATAATTACGAATAAAATTTCAATTAAATGTGTTATACATGATGCAATTATGCATAATACATAATAATTAAGTGGTGCATATGCAAATACATGTTAATTCAGTGGTGCATATGCAAATACACATTGTTGTAATCTGCACGTTGAAACACATTCAGAACTACTAATTCAAAATAAAAAATTACACAATATTTCTTCCTATAAACTCCCACAACTTTCAAAATGCTGGATTTCTTGAAAAAATATTATCTCAGGAGTACTGATAGTACTCCAATGAGGAGATGTCACGTATGTAATGATCCCATCATAATGTCACGTGGCACCTCCTCATTAGAGTACTGATGAATCAGTACTCCTGAGATAATATTTTTTCGGATTTCTTTCTGCGCTCCCCTCTTTTTTTTTCATTGATAAAGCCAACACATTGCTATTAATTATAAACTCCATCCAATTTTACAAATCTGTCCATGATTATTAAGCTGCAGCCATTGGATCTTCTCTTTGATTCATGGACTTGTCAGAACTTGGAGCTATCCCTGGTTCAGATGCTATGTCCCATACCTGCAAAGCATGCAAGCTTTCAGCACAAGGAATCTGAAGGGGTATTTACAAATATACCATCCAAATCGTATTTATTTACATATCCACACATAAAAAATTTACTTTTTTTACATTTATACCGCCCAAATCTTTCATATCACATAAAAAATACCACTGCCACTACTTCTATCTTCTAAAAAGTTCTTCACACATGATAGACAAGGCGGCATAAATGTAAAAATTGAAGTTTGGGTGTTAGATATGTAATTACATAAGAAGGGAATGGTTTGTATGCAAATCTCCCAAATCTGAAAACATTTCATTCTCATCTCATTCATCTTTGGCTTACTTTCAGTTTCCCTTTATGGCCTCCAATGGCCAACAAGAATGGGCTGTCCTCTGAGAAAGCAATGGAGAAAATGCTTCCCTGTAAGATGAAATAGAGTGAATGATTATTTTTTTAATTACATGAAACAATTCTTATTTATATACGTACCTAGGACCTAAAGTTTTAATCTTTTACATATATAAAACCCAAATCTTACATATAAAATAAAAAATACCACTATATTAACTTTTAAAAAATGAAATACACCTTCTCATCCATAGGAAAGGTGGGATCATGTAAAAACTGAAGTTTAAGGGTTAGATATGTAAATACATAAGAATTGAGTGGTATGCATGTGAATCTTCCTACATAAATTTGTCTTGTACTCTCACAGTCCCAAGTCTTTCTCAGCCATTCTACATTTTAAAATATCAAAATCCATCGTAAAACCCCAACTCATATTTTTGTAAATATAAATGTTTCAGGTGGTCTGTAAGTAATAGGGATGTAAACGAGCTGAGCTGGAGCGAGCTGAGCCTCAGCACGTAACAATTTGGCTCGTGAACATTGTGTTCGTGTTCAGCTCGAATAACATATTCATGTTCGTGTTCGGCTCAAAATAGGCTCGATAGAACATATTCCGTGGAATAACACTGAGTTACACCGCGGTGTTATTCCGCAGTGTAACACTCCGGAATAACACCGATAATACCAATAACACCGCGGTGTTATCCAGTTTTATTCCGCGAAATAACACCAATAATACCGCGAAATATTGAGTATATTTATATTTTAATTTATTTATTTCTTTTCGAGTCAATTCAAGCCGAACACGAGCGAACAAATATTTGTTCGCGTTCGGCTCGTTTATATTTCAAGCTTGAAAATTTGTTCGTGTTTGGCTCGTTAAGCTCACCGAACAAGCCAAACACGAGCTGTTCGGGAACGAGCCGGTTTAACAGCCCTTGATAAAGCCAACACATTGCTATTAATTATAAACTCCATCCAATTTTACAAATCTGTCCATGATTATTAAGCTGCAGCCATTGGATCTTCTCTTTGATTCATGGACTTGTCAGAACTTGGAGCTATCCCTGGTTCAGATGCTATGTCCCATACCTGCAAAGCATGCAAGCTTTCAGCACAAGGAATCTGAAGGGGTATTTACAAATATACCATCCAAATTGTATTTATTTACATATCCACACATAAAAAATTTACTTTTTTTACATTTATACCGCCCAAATCTTTCATATCACATAAAAAATACCACTGCCACTACTTCTATCTTCTAAAAAGTTCTTCACACATGATAGACAAGCGGCATAAATGTAAAAATTGAAGTTTGGGTGTTAGATATGTAATTACATAAGAAGGGAATGGTTTGTATGCAAATCTCCCAAATCTGAAAACATTTCATTCTCATCTCATTCATCTTTGGCTTACTTTCAGTTTCCCTTTATGGCCTCCAATGGCCAACAAGAATGGGCTGTCCTCTGAGAAAGCAATGGAGAAAATGCTTCCCTGTAAGATGAAATAGAGTGAATGATTATTTTTTTAATTACATGAAACAATTCTTATTTATATACGTACCTAGGACCTAAAGTTTTAATCTTTTACATATATAAAACCCAAATCTTACATATAAAATAAAAAATACCACTATATTAACTTTTAAAAAATGAAATACACCTTCTCATCCATAGGAAAGGTGGGATCATGTAAAAACTGAAGTTTAAGGGTTAGATATGTAAATACATAAGAATTGAGTGGTATGCATGTGAATCTTCCTACATAAATTTGTCTTGTACTCTCACAGTCCCAAGTCTTTCTCAGCCATTCTACATTTTAAAATATCAAAATCCATCGTAAAACCCCAACTCATATTTTTGTAAATATAAATGTTTCAGGTGGTCTGTAAGTAATAGGGATGTAAACGAGCCGAGCTGGAGCGAGCTGAGCCTCAGCACGTAACAATTTGGCTCGTGAACATTGTGTTCGTGTTCAGCTCGAATAACATATTCATGTTCGTGTTCGGCTCAAAATAGGCTCGATAGAACATATTCCGTGGAATAACACTGAGTTACACCGCGGTGTTATTCCGCAGTGTAACACTCCGGAATAACACCGATAATACCAATAACACCGCGGTGTTATCCAGTTTTATTCCGCGAAATAACACCAATAATACCGCGAAATATTGAGTATATTTATATTTTAATTTATTTATTTCTTTTCGAGTCAATTCAAGCCGAACACGAGCGAACAAATATTTGTTCGCGTTCGGCTCGTTTATATTTCAAGCTTGAAAATTTGTTCGTGTTTGGCTCGTTAAGCTCACCGAACAAGCCAAACACGAGCTGTTCGGGAACGAGCCGTTTTAACAGCCCTAATAAGTAATTATCCTAAAAAAAAATTATAAGATTTTTTGAAACTCACAGCTTTAGGTTTTCTAGTTGCAACACAAGAAGGCTGATTGTTCGATAGATCCCATAGTTTCACCTGCAAATGCATGGAACGTCAATTATCATAAAACTCTAGCATTATATTTCGATATGTAATGAAAAAATAAAAAAAAGATGTGTTACCGTTTTATCCGTTGATCCTGTAGCAAGAAGCTGCAAAATATAGAATGAAGTATAAGAAAATAGGGAGATTTACATACATATACCACCTCAACTACAATCATCACATACATACCGCCTTGCATATGCATGAAAAGGTGTATTTTACATTTGAGTAGTTAAAAAGATGATATTTTTCATGTGATAAGAAAGATTTGGATGGTATGCATATAAAAATCGAAACTTACATGTTAGACATGCAAATGCATAGGAATCGGGCGGTATGTATCTAAATACCCAAAGAAAATATTCCGAAACACTTGTTATCTCATTATCAAACATCAACGATAGAAATGAGAGTGTTAGACTTGATACATTTGGTCGAGATGGATTATAGGAGATTGACGAGACGGCTTTGTCATGTGCGTGGAGTGTGAAAACCGGTTTGCCGCCGGAACTATCTGATGATCCTACTCTGATATCAAAACCTTGAACGACACCATTTTCTTGACTAACCTGAAATCATAAACAGCAATAATATCAACATAAATGATAAAGAAGGAACATTATAATTGATTAAGAAGTCAAGCAAGAAAAGTAAATCAAGTCTATATAAAAAGCCTATTTTAGGTGGATCTTCTTGTGTCTTAAAAAAGGGGAATTTTTATGTATTTACATACATAGGACACAATTCCCATATATTTACACAATTCCCATGTATTTACACAATTCCCATGTATTTACACAATTCCCATGTATTTACACAATTCCCATGTATTTACACAATTCCCATGTATTTACACAATTCCCATTTATTTACATATCTCATATCTAAACTTTCATATTTACACACATAAAACTCAAATATTTAATATCACACCAAAAATAATCTTATTACCTCATTTTAAAAGTTTAATAAAGCTTTTCATGCATCGGCTTAAAACACTGAAGTGATATGTATGTAAATATGAAAGCTTACGTTTGAGATATGTAAATTCAAAAGATTTATGTGCTGTGTATGTAAATTTCGCTTTTATTTAATTATCATTTGGAAATATAAGCTCAAAATTATCAATATATATAAACACCTGAACAACAGATTCACCAGATTATAGCTGTGATAGTCATCATCATCACAAACATCGGCATCAACTGACAAATTATGAACAAACGAATATCTAAAATTTCAACAATAAACCACAAAAGATTTCTACAATGTAAATAAGAGTTTTAAAGTTTATTACTAAGCTTTAATGTAAAAAGATAATGAAATTAAAATATATACACAAAATACAAATATTGGAAAGCATATGCCAACTATCTATGATCAGCTGTACAAAGGCTTGTTTTTCATTCTTTCCTATTAAATGTTGCAAGAGGTTTTAAACAAATGTTTTATAAATCATTTGAACAACATCTATCCATAATAAGTTAATTCTACACTTCCTAATTCTTCGGAACTAATTATATCTAATGATTTAACAAGTGCAATTTTTAACCTTTTTTTACATATCTAAACCACATAGGTCAATTTTCAACTATATGCCTTAAAACAAAACATTATTACAATCATTCCTTTATTATAATCATTCCACCAATTTAATTTTTCCTAGTTTTGCACAAATCCAACTTTACACTCCCATCTCTATCAAGCTAAATTTAGCTACCATAAATTTTTTTTTACTACTCAACGCTCAAATTTATATATCATAGCTAAAATGATTACAATTTCATAAAATTTATCTCATAATTCTTCCAAGCTAAAACACATTATGTAATTCACATGAATTCCTCTGCAACTAAAATCACTTTCCTAATGAGCTTAAAGTATTTTTCGAAATATAAATAAAATAAGCGTCATTGTATCAACTAGAACACATTTTGCTTCAACTCCACATATAAAATGATTTTAATAGTATCACGTCCACATTTAAACAAAACTTATTTCCTATAGCTTTGATTTAAAAGTACTCTCTTAAAGCTATCTGTAGGCCGACTAATTCTAAACAAACTCCACAATTTAAGCAAGTCTTTTTTCAAATAATAAACAAAATGCGTTCAAATTTTAAATATAATTGCAATAAACTTTATCCTAGAATTTTAAATTCAAACTAAAATTATCCAAAACAATTCAAATTTCATTAGTTTATTGCAATAATTTGGATTTTGATCAACAATCTAAAATTTCTTTTGACACTAATCACCAAGCCTGTGAATGGCACTCCATTTTTTGTCAGTGTGATCTGAAAATTAAAACCACAAGCAATCACCAACAAGAGATTAGACCATTAAAACTTTCGCAGGAATGATCCCTTGATTTTTCCACAATATAATTTATAATCTACCAAATTTAATCCTCAAATCACGTCACCTTCTTACGAGGAATTTATTGCTGTGAACTTTAAAAATCTCAAGATGAGAGAGAGCTGCATGTATGTTGACCTCGCTTTCGATCGAGGTGTAGTTTTCCCCTCTTTAGTAGCCTAGAATCTAGCCGTAGGACCTTTCTGTCGACTACTCCTAGAAAACTAGTGAAAGAGCCCTCCCCATTAGCAATTCTGAATTTTTCTTCGCTCGACTTGACGTTCCATATAGTAATTTTGACCGCTATTGCTTAGCAGGTAAGACAACTCTGAAGGAACTCAGGGAGTATTCCTATGGGACTGTCGGCCTTAGGATTGACTGTACTCGCTGATTTGGCGCCGCCGCGCTCTTCGCCGTCCTGTTTAATCGAATTCGAGCCGAGTTTTTGACGTGATTCGCAAGTTTTTGACGTGATTCGGGTCCCGACGCGTTTTCGTCTCAATCGTCGACTAGGTCATCTAAACGACTCCGGATGACGAAACAAACTGCACCGATGCGTCTGGAACATCGATTTTGCCTTGAGGAGACGTTCGTTTCATTGCGAAGACACGTCTTGGGGAAAATATATATTTAGGTGTTAATTATAATAATAAATAATATTTTATTATTATTATTAACTTATGTTAAAAAATCCTTAACCTAGTTTATTTCCCTTCTCATGGGTGTATGTCGGCATGATTCTTATGTTAATAAAAATCCTTAACCAGGTTTCTTCCTCTCGCGCTTGTGGACCTCTGCCCTAACTGCGATTCGCTCGATTTCACCTGGCCCACTCCGTGTAGTTGGAGTTTCGTCCCCGCGCTCGTTCCTCTCGCACGCGAGACAACCTCGCAGGCGACCCATCCCCTTATCATTGCCGAGGATCGTTATCCTCTGCTCTCGACCCTCCTTACCGCAGAGCGTGGCCTCTGCGAGGATCGTATCCTCTGCGCTCGATCCTTCTGTCGTATCTTCTTAATCATTCTTCTCCTTCTCTGGGATATATTAGACCTCGGTTTTGTAGCCTTGGGGGTATGCCGAAAATCTCTGAGGGAGGAAACTCTGCAATTTTCTTTTCTCACTTTAATTTTCTGGTGCTTGAATTGGTTTCATCTTGTTGTTGGAGGAGGAGTTGAAGTTGGGGAGTGCCTTTAAAGTTCCTGTGTTATTTTATTCTGCTTCAAGGATAAACTTTTTCCCCTTTTGTGTCTTGCCCTTTTTTCGGTTTTGCCCTGCCGAGCCCCTGTCAGCTCGGTGCGATTGGTGATACAGCATGCTGACTTAGTTGGCACTTATATTTTTGAATACATGATACTCAAGCATCTAGGAATAGAAATAGGAATAG